TTATTTCTTTAAAAGAGTGTGATAAAATACAATGTGTCTTTTTACATTTTTGCTATTAGAAGACCAAATTTTTACTCGACCATCATTGGATAACACATTTACATTTAATATTATTGGATTGCAACTATCGTCTGTACAATTCTCTAAATAATTTAGAAAGAGAAAATGATCCATTGTCAATTCGAAATCTCCAATAATGCTTTTAATACTAATTTCATCAATATTCTTGGAAGAGAGAGTTAAAGGTGTTTTCCCCAATTGATTAGAATTTAAACGCACCTTGTCCTTAAGTACACTGAATTTATTTTTATTAAATTCTGTTATTGATTTATTTACTACTATTAAAATATCATTAACATCACATCAAATATAAAACGGCTTACCAATAATGAATATTCAAATTCTTCAGTGGTAACAAATTCTGATCGGGTTTGTATCTGGCACAACTTTCCAAGTCATATAAGAAAACACACGCATTTTCTTGTTCTCTGAAATGAATTCCTGTGACTATTGTTGACTCGTGTGAGGCATAAGCCGAATTGACCCCGCGATCAATAACACAAGTTCCCAAAACACCTTTTTTCATAATATGGATTTTTTTCAATTTGTGCAAAATATGATTCTTTGTGTGAATCCACTTTGACCTTATGACTCTCGATGTCGATATCGGGATTGAAATCTTTTATCTTAAAATCATTTAAGTAACCGATGACGATCCAAAGAACTTCCAATTCGTAATTTCTTTGCCTTTCAATTTTATAGGTTCGATGAAGAATAATTGCAGGACTTTTATCATCAAGATAATCCAAACGTAATCCAAATACGTCAATATTCTCCCTCTTGTTCAATATGGTAGGAAAAATCTGGTGTTTTTCTAAATTTGGAATAAAATCCATGTTCAAGGGATAAACATATGGCTTTATCTGCAGTGGTTTAAAACTAAACTTTAGTTTTTTCAACTTTTGCTGTTATAAAAAATTTTATAAAAAAATTTTTTTAATTAAATGAAAGTTTCATTTTATGATATTGAATGCACAATCCATAAAGTAACATTTATAATTAATACTTTGGAGAATTTTTTGCCCAAGTGCCTTTAAAACCTTTTGTCTTAAGGTTTTTTCTTCTTCGTCATTTTTTGACAAAAGGTCAAAGATAGGTGCAACCTTTCGATATTTAATAATTTTCCAGGTTTCTGGGTCATGTTCCAGGGATTTTAGCCATTCGGATTTACTATTATAAAAAGCCCTCCCACCGATAGTAATACGGTATTCATTGTTTGTTGGTAAGAGCTCAAAATTTTTATTACTTAAATTTGTGCCTAATAAATCAAAATTTTGGATCGTTAATATCTTTCAAATAAATAATTATTTTTTAAAATTAATTTAGTTCATACGTGAGGTGCCCGGATTATTTTTTTGTTCAATAATTTTTCCGCCAAATACGACTTCTTTGGCATGAAAAAAATTGTCCGTATTTTTTTGTTACTTCTCTGAGTTTTTCTATGGGATGTTTATCATTCACTGCTTTTTTTATTTCTTCTTTTAGCTCCGGAGAAATCGC